GTTCTACTTAACGTCAAAGAATGTGAGGAGTACTTCAGTTTCGTTCTTTCGTCTCGTAAATATGTCAAACTTGAATTTTTTATTTGGAATTTACTAAACATCCTTATCGAACGAAACCTTTTAAGGTATTCACATCAAAAGACATCTCGAATTCCGATTGGAATATCGATGAGGCCTACTAACCATTAGCGTGAATGAAATTTTTTGTCTGCTCCATGTACGACAATTTTCAACTTGGGGTAACTTCAAAATTCGATGTGTCATTTGTTAATTGAAACACACATCACGCACATAATGATGCCTTTTTGTTTCAGCATCGTTTACGTTCAACGCTTTTATTGTTATTGTTCCATTTACATACACAAACGTAATATGTAGTCAGTGCACGTGTTATATATTCGGATTCACGCAGCTAACAACACAACACAACTTCGTACAGGCAGACGCATGCACACGCGAGCATCAAAATTCATCGACACTTCAATATTGTTTTTATTCTCTTTTACGTGCGATGGATTCTTTGCATTGTTTGTGGTACTAAGAATGAATTGCAATCCCCTAACATATTTACATCTGCTTACGTACGTGGGAGAGTATGTACATATCTACATATGAAATTATGATTATACATTATGATTAACTATTATATATATATATATATGTATAGATATATATTTTATTAATATTTCCTTTGCGATAATGTTTTATGTTAATTTTGCATTTCAATGAATTAAAAATTTTTGTACACTGAACCGGGAAGAAACCAACAAAACATAAACATATGGATGTATGTTTCATTATAGTTACTATAATTTGTGGGCAAAAAAAAAAAAGGCATTAACTTGCATTAAAGGCGTGTCCTTTAATCACTTTGCTATTCATTTTTAATATTAACCTGCTTTCTAGTATCCCGGAACATGTCTACTACAGACAGGATTAAAAATAAATATATATATATATATATATATATATATAGCGCCTCTAAAGCTCTCTTCCTCCACGGTGTTGTTGCAAATGTTTTGCGGAAAATGTCGTCGACCAACAACTGACAAAAACAGTAAGAATATCATATATCAAACAAATTATTCCCGCCTGCGGGACATACCCAACAACCTACTCAACCATCATCTACATGCGAAAGGAAAAACATTTGCGTACGAGTATTAGAAATCAGTTATATAGTTGCAGACAAAGAGATTAAATGGTTATTGCGCTATTTCAACTGTACAACCATACAACCATACATTTGCTTCATATATCATTCATTCAAAACATGAACTCAAGGAGGAAAAGTCCTCTTTACGTCACAAGCTTGTTATCAAAATGAACGCATTCTATTGGGATTACAATCATCGTCGTAATCGTCGTCACCATATCATCATTAATTTTCGTCTTCTTGACGTTTGTTTTTTCCTTTCGACATTTTCACGTGTACGCGTATTATTGGTTTTATCTTTTCGGCCATTGCACAACAAAGTTGATATACGAAACTTCACTTTATGCTCCACTGCGGGCGTCTGCTCTGACCAATTTGGGCCATTTTCAATGCAAACCTGCGTGCAGAAACTTCCAGAATTTCTACCAAATTTGAAATCGATATCTTAATTTTTGCCAGACTAGAAGAGTGCCATCAACAAACACCACACAGACGAACAGACATGGATCAATCAATTCAAAATTTTACGATGGTCAAAAATGTACACATTTTATAGCGTCTCTGCAGCTTCCTTTTGGGAGGTATGAGTATACCCCCATCTTACAGTGGTGAGTATAAAATGAAAGCAAATGTTATTGAATTTGAAAAGTTACCTTTGGTAACAAAGATATTATTGTTAACCCTTTGCCCACGAGGCCTCCGGAACGGAGCCATTTAAAATTGGTCTTCAAACTCGAGCGCTCCGCTGCGGAGACATTGTAAATAATTTGCAGTTCTTAACATAAAAACAAAGACAAATCGTAAAAACTAGTATTCGGGTGTTTCGCTGTTGGTGACAAATGATGGTCGCGGCTCGCGGATTATAATACGAATTAAAAAAAAACTTCGAGTGCAAACTAACGAAATAAACCCGTAGACTAAAAGAGAGAAAGAATTAAGCCTTAGCAACATAGACTATCGAGTCTCTTTTAGAAAATGAAATTAAGCATTGAGTCTAGTAGTTTTAATAACGTGACATTATTGGACTGGCATTACACTCTGTAGCTGATTTCAAAATGTCCATAGCATACGCTGCTACGATTGCAATTCTTCTAATAAAGGAAAAGTTTAGGCAGTCACAAGAAAGACGCCTTATTCTGAGAATTTGTTCACAACTGCAGGCTGGAGAAAAAGATTTCTTAAGGAATCATGGATGGGTTGCAATTTCAATCTTGATTTTATCATTTGAAGTCAAACATAAAGGAAAAATTGAAGCTTATTTTCTGATATCACTTAATTTAGTCTATGAAGAAGAAGAACAATATATTGAAAAAAAAAATTTATGATATAACAAACAGGAAGACTACCGAATATATTAGAATTGAAAAAATAATTTGTGTCATGTGGACGGGGCTGTTAGTCAATTGGCTAACTGGATAGCTTTAGAAATTCCATACTTGCAATCAACGACGGCAGGATTTTTGCTAATGAGTCGATTATAATTTTTTAGTCAGGGAACACGTTTAGATTGAACTCGACAGTTTACTCTACACAAGACTATATACCCTCTCCAGGACACGTGCTGTTAACACGCACTTCGATATGTTCCCTATGAAAAGACAAACGTACTAAAGTTCCCTACTTTTCCGATAAGTATAATTGTGAGGAAAGAAAAGACCAATACAACCAATTCCTGCCGATCCATCGCATATGTGTATAAATATATATAGGGATCGGTAGGAATTGAGTTTTATTGGTTTTTCCTTTCCTTACAATTATTATTGTATATAACAAATATATATATATATATATATATATATATATATATATTTATAATTATATATAAATATACGAGTAAAAATTTAGTTATGAAAAAATATCAGTTAAGCTCTTTTAAAACGTATACGAAAGGAATCTAAAAGTGGAGAATTTTTTATTTTCATTTCATTTATCGAATAACAAAATTTTTCATTTATGTTAACAAATCCGCAGAAACGAACAATATGAACATAACTATTTTCATTTTTTACTTAATTGCAATAACAATAAAGGGAGACGTGATGCTCTTTATGAAATCAACATTTTTTTATATTTGAATAAAGTAAATACCATAAAAACATTGTACCTCTTTTACTTATTTACATGTAACGCATATATGGACAATGATTGTTACTGTTGGGCTATAGCAGGTAGCACTTTTTCAATTACAAATAAGGCATAAAAATGCGTTGCGGCTCCAAGGTTCTAGGCAAAATTATTATTATTTTCTTCTTTTTTTTTTTTCTCCCAATATTTAATTCATTCGACCTGACTAAATGGGCGAAGTTGTTACATTCATTTTATTAATCGTTTTGTAACACTTCGATGATACATGCGAACCTCCCAAAAATACACATATTTATGCTTGAATATGAGAAATCAAAGCATTGTTCGTAACAATAAATTATTGAAGAAAAAATAATTAAGATTTCGTGCAAAATTAAGTCAACTATAAGGTACTTGGGGCGAATGTTAGCGACTACTTGATGAAATGTTATTGTGTAAAGCAAATCTCTTACTTGAATACAAAGAAAGCTTTTAAGAAATTTTACTAAAAAGACTAGTTAAGAAAAAAAAATTAAATTCGGTCGGGACGGAATCTTTTTTACCTACCACCGTTTACCACAAAAAAAGGCAAAAGAACAAAATTCCTATGCTCTATTATATGCTGTGGGTGCAATCGATTTCTTCTATTTTTAAAATAAACGTTTTTGTCGTAGAGGCATGGGGGCCTTATAGGCGTGTGTGTGTGTGTGTGTGTGTAGTTTATTACAGAGGTGTTGTCAGTTTATGGGCGTGTTCTGGCACCGATAGCTTCATTTTTGCGATCAGGATACTGTTTACAACGGTTGGACAAACACACGGACTTAACGATTTTGATGCTGATTAAAAATATGTATACTTTGCCGGGTCTCTGATGCTTCCTTCTGCACATGGTACACGTTTTGACAAAATGAATATAATAATACAAATTTGCATCAGCCATTCTTCGGTGATGGCTACAAAAATAGGGTGCATAAGCATCTATCCGATTTTCTGCTGAAGGGAAATAAAATTTTAATTGCAAATCGAGACATAATGAATGCAAGCTTCATAGCTAATGCAATGTGACTTGTTTACGATACCTTAGATCGAGTGGACGTCTAAAATGCGCTTCAATCTAACCCAAATTTCATTACTCATTTTTAGTATTTCTAAGAAGAATTTCTTATACAAATGCACGGCAACTATAAAAGCAGTTTTTTTTTTTCCTTTTTCTTTATAAAATTGATATATTGATTTGCAATTGTATTGAAAGATATTAAATTTGTTTGTTGAGTTTATTTTTTGTTTTGCTTTTGTTTTTATTCTTTTCAGCATAGCAGATATACGCAACATTTAATTATTTGAATATGAAAGATCAAAATTATGTGATAATATTTATGATTGAATTATATGGGCATTTGTACATTAATGCAATTTCAATGATGCACGTTTATATAAAAACACCAACATATTGTGTGTTAAGATCTCGTAAAGCTTTTAAGAAAAATTTTTTCATTAACCCACTTTTCTAAGGAAAACGAAAAAAAAAAAAAAAAAAAAAAAAAAAAATAGAATGTAAAGGTCATTATGAAACATTAAATTCACCGTAATAACGTCATTTTGAAAGAAAACAAAAACTCATATATGCTTTTCAAGCATCTTTGCGACCACAAGTATGGTATATGTATTTATTTATTTGAAAAAAAAAAAAAAAAAAAAATCTAAATTAAAAAAAAACTTCATATATATATATATATATATATATATATAAAAACAAAACAAAAAAAAAAAACAATTCATACTAAAGGCGCTTTTAAAATATATTCTACACTTAATTCATAGTTTATCTTTGTTTATGCTTAATATATCTAACATTCCCTAAAGTAGTATTTAATTCTTTATACATTCATGTCTCGTTTGTAAATATTATTTACAAATAACAGCAAAAGCACAGCTTCTTATCATTATTTAAATTACTTTCTTCTGATATCTACGTTCAAAAGGCATCACCGTGTAACTCGGGGAATAAATAAAATTTTACACAAATTTTAAAACAAAATAAAAAACCGTGACAAGAAAATGATACATTGCACTTCGGCTTACTCAATTTGTGAAGCGTAAACTTCTTCAGATACATATATATATATATATATATATATAAACTTACTTACGGCTGGCTGGCGGTGGTGGTGGTGACAATGGTGGTTATTTTACTTTGCACACAACTTTACTAAACTAAACTCTTTATCTTAACACAAAAAAAAAAAAGAAGAAAATAAAACAAAAAGTTTCATTCGGCTTGGACCGAACCTTCTATAACTCACCACTAGGGTCGCGTGCGGCATTTCATGAGCGAAAATTAATTCCTCGATTAATTGATCATGTATATCATGTGTTGTTTATGTGGGCGGCATTCTAGCAAGCCCCGGCAAAACCTTGACCTAATTTGACCAACTTCTTTGGACTAAAGTTTTGATAGATTAACATCAAGAAGAGAAACTTTTTTCTTAGTAATTAATTGTCAGCCTCTGTTCATCGACAAATTTGTTTTTTTTTTTTTTTTCGATTTTTCAAACTCAACTTGATGAGTTTACTCTATTATTTTAACGGACGGATGGACGGACAGACATGACACTACATGTTGCAAAGATTTCGCAAATTTAACGTATCCGTTATGGTGAGAATAACATTTTGCGACTAGTTACATGAAATTGAGCTCTTTATCAATAACTGAAACAAACCTGAGCAAATCTAACTTCAAATAGCATTGTAAACTCTTATTAATCTGATCTGATGCTATTTGAACTGATATTGTTGATTGATGTTAATTTAAAAACTAAACACTATTCATGGCTGTTAATAGTGTTCAGTTTAGAAACTATATATAAAAATTTTCTAGAGAAAATCACAGCTTTTTAAAATTTAACTAATTTGGTGAAAATTATATAAAATACAAATAAAATAAACTTAAATTACTCATTTTACATTCGACTACAGAAGCAGTAAAGCAATTGCTTGTCTTCAAAATGATAAACGTTGTTGATATGACGTAAGACACGGCCATCGACCAAACGTTTCGCATAGTGTACCGCCTCTAAACGATCCTTAGAGAGACCCATCTCAATTAACCAATCGACAAATTCACAACCATAAAACACTTTCCGATAAATTTTAATACGCCATCTTTAAAAATACCATTTGATAAGTTATATAAGTTATACTCTCTAGATAGACAAATAAAAACAAAAAAAAAAAAAAAAAAAAAAAAAAACAAAAAACGATTACCTTCTATCCTTAGCAATTTCCTTTTTGCAAAGCTCCAAATGATGATTTCGGAATTGTTCGCAAATATGTTTAGTTTCCATGCTAAGCTGCGACCAATGTGGCAAGCTTAAGACGTTTGCTCCATACCTGTACAAAAAAAAAAAAAAAAAAGAAAAGAAAAAAAAATTGAGCTGAATTTTTTCTTTTTTTGTTTGCTTATATGGCTTACCATAATTTGCGCCACAACTTCACTAAGGGTGTTAATAGCTCGCTTGTGTCCGTAATGAAGACGGCCATTACAATTAAACTTTGGCCAAAATTTAAGAAAGCATCCAAAAAACTCAATTCCAAGTATATGCCTGACATTCCTTCCATTACTAAAGTCCAAATGGAAACTGCTAAACCCTAAAAATGACAATAATAATAATAATAACAACAACAACAACAACACATGAACGCAAACACATGAAAGTGAAAAAAATCTAAACGAAATATTTTGCATTTATGCCCAAAATGGCTTTGGTACTTGAAAATGCAATTATCATTACTCCTCTCTCTCTCTCTCTCTCTCCTGAAGACCCTCACAAATTATGCAATTAAGGCGAATGCAGCCATCGTTTATTAAGAACTACCATAACGCGATTATATACAAGGAGGAACGGATATCGATTAAAGGATTCAATTGCCCAAAGCTGTTTGTTCATGGATATCGTGTAGCCATCCACACTGCAGCAATTTGCTTTCATTTATGACTCGTTTACGCCCCTAAAAACCCTTATTAAACTTTATGCAAAACAGTTAATGATTTTCTTTGTAGTTTTTTTATTGGGCAAAAAGAATTGTAACATTGTATTGTTGTACAACTTCTACAACTCCATCTTAACTAAATATTCGAAAAGAAGACAGTATACAGGAAAAACAGATAGAATAGATTTACACAAAAACGTAGATTACACCTTCCCACACTATATTTCTTATTGTTCAGTGCCTTTCTCCTTCCTTTCCACACCACCACAGAATTAAGCAGAGCATACAATCATTTAACATGTAACACAATTCACGGCAAATTTATATACAAAGCAGCTTTCTGAGCAATGATTCCAATGGGGATCCCCCGCAATTCTAACCTCAAGTGCTTTCGTTTCATTTTTATCCGCAACATCCGGCCAAAGAACTGCACGCAATTAAATGATATGAACTGAAATGCTTTTGCAATCCGGCATTGGCCGATTAACTCAAAACAATGCTTCAAAAAACGCGAAACAGGCACGACGCTGTTATTTTTATTTTAGTACATCTGCTCGAAGCTTTTTATTAAATTTTTTCTAGTACCACAATCCCATATAAAAACCAAATATTAAATGAGAAAAATTTTGAATAGCAGATAAAAGTAATTTTCTTAAAAACAGAAAACTAAATCCTATGGTAAATTGAAAATATTTTCCAAAGTAGAAAAATCGTACAGTACTTTAAGATACACTTAAGGAGGTCGAAAGTAAAAATATCCAATTGCACTAATAATATTGACTGTATGCAGCAATTCTTGATCGCCTGTGACAACATTCACATATATGATATCATCTCGTTCGCTTGGTCGAAATAATGAGAAATTTCGCAAATATGTAACATTTGCTCTTTAATTAACCAGGAATTGATTTATGATTCCCGATATTGAGTAAAATCGATCGTAATTTTTGGATATGTTAACCGGCAGTAATTTTACGATCGAGAAATTTTCCATTCGATGATAAGAATACTTTGTCAATCTATGTAAACTCTATTCGCGTTACAGCGACTCCATAATTCCAAGCCAATCCCGAATCGACTCAATATTGAGAACCATAAACCAGTCCTAACTAATTTGCCAACACATCGCCGTAAGCGCATGCGAAGATCACGTATTTGTGAAAATGAGTAAACATAAAATCTTCTTAATATCTACTGACGGCGGAGTTCGCACAAAACCTTGAGAGAGTAATAAAAGCGAATTATGATTGTCGTGATCGCCGGACACTAATAAACGCATCATAACAAAATATGTGTGTATTGGTGAACTGATTTGAAATTTTAATAAGCAAAGGATTTGCTTGAGATAGTGGACTTCTCTTTGTGGCTTAGAAAGCTAGAAGTAGTCGGTCAAGTATGTTTATGATCCCAGCGGAGTGAAATGTGAAATCTCTACGTTTATCAGAGCGTCCGAGGAAATACATACACAAAATGAAATTTTATCTAATAGTGGAACAACGTGTTTTCATTAACATTACGGTGTGTTCCGTATGTCACTTATTCTTAAATTTTCTCCTCAAACAAACACCAACAAATCTCAATTGCCTTATTTTGCCGGAAATCTGTTTTTTACCATAACTAGATCTTAGGAAGAAAAAGCAAAGAGACATTGCGAGACAATGTGATGGTTTGATTTTTAATATTCAAAACCTTAAAAATGAACCATGAATTGTCTGATCAGTTAACATGGGGGAATTTTGAAAATTTAGAAATCGTAAGCCTAATATTAGAACAAGTTAAGAAGAAGACTTCGTCATTTAAAGATTTCAGATTGGTTAACTAATAAATCTATTTTCTATACGCCGTAGGCGTAGTCATAATTCAAAATATCACGATTTCAATTCAGGCCTCGGTTACTCAATTCACGATTTCTGAAAAACGAACGATTGTAAATATTTATTGCCTTTGGACCACCATTAGAATTACCATTGGCTATGACTTTTATATTTGTACGCCTTACAGCAGCTACCTTGTAGTCTGAATTTCCAGAATGAAACAAATATTTATAATCATTCTCGCTACTCTCTGTTGCGGTATATGTATATATTATGTGGTTGGAAAATTCGCTCCAAGACGGATAAAACTTTTTTTTATTGAAAATGTTGTTAATAACAACTCTTTGACTTTTAAGCAAAAAAAAAAGGGTTAAAATAAAATTTAGAGAGTGAATTACTTCTCCTTGAATGCTAAGGAGCGACGCTTTTATTTTAATAGATGCAACTATTCGTTTGAGTTTGTTTGAGTCAATACTGATGATGTGACGAATTTTACTTACCACAAACATTGAGCAAAGCAAAATGATCAGAAGTGCAGTATGCTTTAGAGTTTCATGCTCATCGCCGTCAGTTGTGTGTTCTAAAGGCTCAAGACCTTGTTGCATGTGTTCTTCGTAACGTTCAACAAGTGTGCGACAGTTTTGCGATGTACTGGCACCGCAATTAAAAGCCGCACTACATATATTGGAGCGCACACCCAAATTGCTGAAAAGACAAACAATTTAAATTATTTATAGAAAGTTCACAAGTTAATTAACTTACGGTTCCTCAAATTGTTCGGATGTGGACGTATTTGAAGAATCTTTTTTATTATTTTCCAAATTACGTTTATTAAGAATATCCTCAATATCTACTACTACGGTGGTAGTAGTGGTGGTGGGGCTGGTTGTAGTAGATCCCATCGAACAACATGTACCATTACCACAACCATTTTGTATAGCGATACGATTATTTGCCGTAACATGATTATTTGGTAATATAACGTCATCGTCATCGGAAGATGAACAGGACATATGACGATGTCTCTGATGAATATTTGCATTTGAGTTCGAAAGTAAATTTGTCGTCGATATAGTAGATTGTATATCAGAGGGTTCTAAAATAATTTAAAAAATCCAAAACAAAATGAAGCATTTTTGCTATAATATGCTCAGAAAGATGAATTACCTGAGTCTGGATTAGATAGTTCACGTGTGTATATTAAGTATTTTTCATAACGTTTCTTATAACGCTGATGCATAACCAAACAACCAACAGTTACTAAAAATAATTAAAACACATTTTTGGAGGTCGTTACTAATAATAATAATAATAATAATATAAGAGAAGATTGCGAGAAAAGATTATTTTTCAAAACAATTAAAATCAGATTGAAAACTTTTCTTAAAAATCATTTAAGACTTTTCCAGGTCTTCAGGATGAACATTAAACTTAATTGAAAAATATAACCCATTTTCGATTAGCTTATATAAAAAAATTCACTCCAGGAAACCTTAGAAAGTCTATATATAACTTATCAATAATTGATTTTGTCATCACTTGCTTTTATATGAACTTCATCTTTGCGCGGACGAATCTTACCTATAAAACACATGACTAGCATAAATACTGATATTGCAGCCTGAGCAATGCCGTACTGGAAGCTGGGATTGTGCTTTTCTCCAGACATGACATTACCATCGAATGCCACCAATAAAACCGAGATAAGAATTGGAATACCCCAAGCAAAAGCTAACTAAAAGGGGAAAAATTTAGATATGAAAAATAATTAGACAAACACTTGGAAATTGCTTACCATGTAAGGCCAAAGTTTTAAAACAAAACACAAACTACGGCACTGCAAGAATAATAGACATATAGCCAGCATGCCAGTCCATAAACGACTGCTATAGGTGCCAATATTGAATAGAAGGAACTGTACGTATAGAGACCATTTCTCTACATGTTCCAATTTCGACCATAGTATAACACCCAGACAGCACATTAACTAAAATTAGAAAAAAAAAAAAAAATTTGCTTTTATAAAAAAAAAAAAAAAAAAAAAAATTGAATTGAACATCGATTCACCTGCGATAATACTAGACAGAAGGTAACGCGATGCGGCATACGTCGACAGCGTTTCGTTACTATTAACAATAATAACATCCAGAAGCAAGCGGCCACACCAGCTACGCTAATATCAAACGAAAACACATCCAATTCGTGTAAATAATCAACAGGATTTAAGTTGGTTAAGGATATCATTTTGGCCGAAATAAACATTAAAGGTGCAGAAATGAACGTACATAAAACCAAACTTTTGGCAATCTAAAGAAAAAAAGAAGAAGAAACTGATTGAGAAATACTTTTCGACATTAAGGCTAAAGTGTAAAGACGGTTAATGGATATGTTGTACATGCGTTTAATTAGCCGACACTTAGTCCTTTGTCGCTATTTTCGAGGTCGTTAAACCGAGAAAGAAATCCTCAACTTACTCTTATTTTATTAAATTATGATCATTGTCAGTCGAATTCACAGACATAAAAGACGCAAACGCAAAGAGTATGAAAACTTTTCTGGTGTATAATTTATCGATTGTTCGGTTTATGTAAAAGTTTACTCCAAGAATTGTTCTCATCAAACTACCGACATGTTTGCAATTCATCCACAAACCGAGATGTATTCAAAAGGAAATAAATTTTTTTTTTAATTGCAATATTACCAACTCGACTTCGACGTTATATTGGGTAGCTATAACAAATGCTCCAGGCGCTGCCGGGAAGGTGCCATAAAGGAAACCGAAAGTACTTAGCTCGGTGGTGTCATTAAAGTTAGTGCCCGCTTGCATGATATTCACAGTCTGGCGGCACACCAATGGTAAAGCTAAACTATAATTTAAATAAAAGACATTATTTTTGATCAGTCGAAAAGTATGCTATAATTTTTTCTTTTTTTTTTTGTAGTATTTCTCACTTACATTTTGACGAGTATCAAGATACTGGGTAAAAGAAATTCTGAACCTTTTAGCGTATTGCCTTGACCGACAATCTTTAAACCCAGTAAAAATAAAGCGGTAGCGGAAAACGATTGCCCAAAGACTCGCAAAACACTGGCTACTATTTCCGGTAGGCCATTAGGAAATATAAAAGCTCCCGCTGTGCCCAATAGGGTCATCATCAATAAAGGATTAAAAAACAAGGACTTAATAGTAGTAAAAATTAATAAAGCTCGTTCATTCAAGCAACGTGTTCGCTTGGCCAGCTGCTCAGCGGGGCAAGTGTCCGGGCAAAGTGGTGGATGTTGAGCCTAAATTTATATTCATTAAATAAATTGGTTTTTTGCAATTTGCTTTGCTTATTTACCACTTCATTTTTGTTCTTAACAATTTTATCAATTTCCATTAATATTAAACCAATAGGATTTAAAATGGCCAAAGAAATTGGTGCCATCAAATACAAATAAGAAGCGTATTCCGGATGTATAGTCTTGTATAATGCCATTACTGGGCAAATGAAATAAAAGGATTCGTATAATTAAAAATATATAAAAAAAAAAAATACACACACACAAATTAAATAAATGATGCAAGTGTTACCTATTGGATATCCTATGGCAAAATCATTGCTTTGTGTACAAAAGATACCCAAGAGACCGGCCCGCGCATAATTTAATGGTCTTGCGACACAAAGGGAAATAATTAAAACCACAAAAAATACTACAGCTTTGGAAATAAGCATCGCCAATAGAAAAGTCCAATTAACTGCGCTCCAATTCAATTCCACCAACGAGAGAAAGATCAAGGACGGCAAAGCAAATGTACCCACAAACGTCCCAAGACCTTTCGTTTCAGCATTCGATATTATTTTGAAACGGCCCGCAATATATCTGTAATAAGAAAGACAATATTGTCGATATTAGAAGCTTGTAAAAATATTTTGGACTTAAAATTGCATTCGTCTTTCATTTAAAATGAAAGCTTGCATCTACAGAGATTACGACTTTTTACATTTTACAATCACAACCTTCGGTTCTTAACACCACAAAAATCTGACGACCCAAATTGGACGTAAACTTGGCTGGAGACGTATCCTGGTCTCTTCCATCAACTACCCTGATGTTGATTGCAAGCAAATTAGTGCACCGAGCACTGGAGCATTTTTAAAATGAACTTTTAGATGATCGATGGATGGATAAATATCTGTGTCAAAAATGTCCGAGAATATCTTTAAACAATCATAATTTTAGTTTCGAAAATGTTACGAGTTTACCGTTTTTTCTTTTTAGAGATTGTCTCTAGACGTTACCCGTTGTGGATGGATGACATCCACCTTTCACAAAAAAATATCTTAATTTGCCTCTGTTAGTTCCGGTGTTAACAGAACGGATAGTTTACTAGGGGACATGTATTCACGTGGATTAATTAACAGCTTCCATGCATATGTAGGAGGTTTCCCTAGTAATACTTTTTTTTTTGTTTTTTGATTGCATTTGATTTTCGTTGGGTGTCCTCACTTGTCCACTTCTGATACTTAATTATACAATAATACAAGTTTCAATAGTGTTTGAAAGTTCGTGTTAAATCATTACAACTATTGAATATCTTGCGATAAAAATCAAATTAAAAATTCTCACGTCAAAAATGCACGATGTGTAAAAAAGTAAAACAAATGTAGCGTTTAATGGTTGGTAATAAATTCTGCTATTTCTAAATGGAGATGAAGGAAAAAAATGTTAACAAATTTCTATATACATTATCTGTTAATCAGTCATAAATTATTGATTAAAATTTTTCTCAAATTCCTGCCTATTAATATCTGCCTGATCACCTATACACATAAGACTTCCTACTGTCATGAAAATACCACCAACTAGGATTCGTATATGAATTTCGGCCTTGCCATTACATAAGAGCTGCATCCGCCTGAGTTGCAGAGTAGGCAATAGGCCTCCACTAACAATTCAATGACCGTGGATTCAAATATCAAGTGCGGCAGAGTATTCAAGATAGCCGGGTAGCCTTAGACTGCTTTAAGACGTTACTCTCTGGATACATTATTAATAATAATAATAACAATACAAACGAGGCGTTATATTGTCTATAATCCAAGAATGGTCTTTTACAGCTTTTATAAAAGCAGAAATCCATATATCGTTTATTAGTGGTACACTTTTCACGGCTCCCTTGTCAAACGGCCCATATATTGAGTATCTTTTTATACCCACCACTGTAAGATCGTGGTATACTCATTCTGTTTTTTTTTTTTTTCGGAATATATGTAACGCCAAAGAAGAACCTTCAGAGACCCTACAAAGTATATATATTCTTGATTAACGTAAAATTCTGATTTGATTTAGTTATGTCTGTCCGTCTGTGTGGTATGTGTTGTTGGCACTCTCCTGATCGCGAAGACGAAAATATCAACTTGAAATTTGGTAGAAACATTGAAAGTTTCCGCCCGCAGGTTGGTACAGAAAATGGGCCAAATTGGTCGGAGCAGAATCGCGCAGTGGAGGGTAAACTGAACGCAACTTAGTTTTTTCTAACTAACATTTTTGGATTTTTATTCGTCGTTTGGAAATTATTAAAGTTAGTAGGCTGCAACTTTCCACATTTGTTTTACGATACACATTACTCTCTAGGTCCGGAAATGAAACCAATCGGCCGTGTGCACACAAACTTACGAGTAATTAAATTTAAATTTTTTCACTTTATTGAGATTTAGGCAAACAAGAGAAAACGTTTACAACTAATTTGTGCACTCCTCAAATGAAGATATATTATCGGCCCAGAAATGGGTTAATTTTAAAATGAATATGGTAGACATCACAATTAATTTTTTCTTAATAATACGAGCGCTATGGCTATCAAACAAAAGAACTTGGAGAGGAGAATGCGAAAGGCATAGTGGTGGGTAGGCGAGATTCGGCCACCGCCGAATATAACTTTCCTACTTGTTTCTTGTCTTGCTTACAGTTGCATTTGCCTGGTTTGAGCATTTTTTTAAAATTTTTGATATTCCGATTATCGTAATAACAGACCGGCGTCGAGACGAACATGTCGATATGTTGATCTAAATGCTGCGATATGTTGAAAAATGCATATGGAAGAACACCCGAATTTGAGACTCTGGTGCGGTCAAAGTAGAAAATCTCACCTATATTTACCTATATCAAGTGAATCTATATAAAAGTACTAATCGAATAAGCAAAAAAAAAAAAAAATCGAACTTTTCTTTCGGGATTTATTTTTAACGATCTTTTGAAATTTGGTATGTTAGTTAGTATAGCAATAGTATAGTATAGCATAGTACTAGTATAGTATAGTATAGTATAGTATATCACATTATACAGTATAGTATATTACAGACTAGTACAAAATACACT